TAATAATAACTAGTACGTTAGTTTTACTTTTTAGTTTTTTTTATTTTTTATTTTATTATTATATATATATATATATATATATATATATATATATATATATCATCAACTCTTTTATATAAGATTATCAAGAAGCATAACTTTTCGTGTAAAGAGCTTGGTCATCTTGACCAACTTTGTAACCAAGTGCACATCATGACATTTTACAGATACATAAAATTTTCTTGAACAACTTTATTACCAATGTATTCAATAAAATTACCATTAGATTGTAGTTTCTAATTCAAATTTGTATATTATCCAAGTTTTAATTTTGAAATTTTAAATTAAAATATTTTCAAAAATTCTCAATCTTCATTTTTGTTGTCACATGGTATGGGAGCACTCTCAATTCTCCCTCTTTTACCTCGTATAGCTTCAATAGCATCTAAACTGCCAAAGTACTGTAAACACAATCTAAAAATATTGACGTGGTCAAATATATAGTTTCAATTTCCTAACTTCACTGTTTGTGGAGATATCAATAAATTTTTCCAACCCACTACCTATCCTTAACTTAAGTCAATTTTCAAAACCACAAGTTCTTATTTGATGTACTTGTATATAACCTATAGAAAGATCTTTTTTATATTTTAAGCCTGCACGTGTCTTTTGAACTTGGCAGCAGCAGCAATTATTCTATAAAAGTGATTGATGTGTGTGAGTGTGTAAGTAAAGTTAATGCTCATAGCTTTAATGATTTTTTTAACCATTTATAACGTAGTTAGATAGCTAAATTACAGTTGTTTTTTAAAATTCTGTTTTAGTGATTTATGTATTATTTATACTCCAAAATGCATATTTGAAATGTACATTAATTTTTGGTTCAACAATGAACTTAGAGAAAACATGCTAGGCCTAGCTCAATATGTGTCCAAGTAAAGAATTTCATGCACATAGATGTCGGTCTCTGAATATCTGCTAATATGTTCTCACTGTGATGTGTTGCTATATTTGAAAACATAAATGTTTCAAACTATGAAAATATTAGAAAATCAACACTATCAAAAATTGATTTCATAATTTTCAAACTTTTATTTTACTATACATTGATAATTCAGCTAGACTTAGTGTTAAGTTAGAGAAAATAAAAGATGAAATATAAAGTTTTACTGAAATAAAAACAACACTTTTGATATTCATTTGACATTTTAGGGATAATGAAATATGAAACTGTCAGATGAAAAGAAGTACATTTATTCTCAGCAAAAACATCACTTTGCACACAGACTAGTTAGAGTCCGAGTCAGACTGACTCCGTAAATTCATTAACAAATTTTTAGTAAAAATGGTTACTTAAAACAAATGATTTTTTGTGTTCAACACACACTTTTAATGTTTACTAAAAGCTTGCCATATTTCATGAAGATACACTAAGTACATTTAGAGATATAGTATGCATAGTTTCATGGTTATAAGGTTGGTCAACTTACATGGTCCTGTGTATAGAGAGCTAATAACAAATGTTCAACTAAATTAGTCATATAACAGTCTTCAATTTGTAAGTGAACTGAGAACATTTTAATTATTTTAAATCATTCTATTTTATGGAATAACATACCATTTTGTACACATACAGAGAATGTGCTATTTCACCAATTAGAGTATGTTGACAAAACAAAATGGTAAGTGTTGCATGCTTATTTTACTTTGTTTGTATGATAAAAAATTGTTTGGAAAACATTATATCTGTGATGTGATTTGTTTTATGGAAAATCATTGCAATCAATATGACAAAATAAACCCATTACATTATTATAACCTTGATGGAAGGGAAGACATATCACACACTGTTGAAAGCAACACGAGTTATCATGTCCTCTGGGAGCATTCTACTGGAATTTCCGTGCCAACTGGTGGACTTATAAATGAACTATCCCTCCCTCTACACTAATCTTTGCAGGTCTACAATGTCACAAGTTCTCTATGGACCCTCACCACAAAGAGCATCCTTTCATCTCCACTCCATGGGAGTTGTCACAGAGTCAGCTCCTTTGGACACAGGTTAGGCACATAACTACTATATCCAATAAAAAAGTGCATGTGCCCAAATAACAATTTACAGATTTATCTGGAATTTCCAAATCATTAATTAAAGACTTCCAGTTATTTAATTCAGTTATTTGATAATTGTAATTTTTACATTGTGAAATTAAGATAAAAGTTACATATCTTACCAACTGCCTGAAACTTTCTTTCCATGGATTTTCATTCTCTGTTTCCTCAAGCTGCACAAATACATATTTGCAAGGACCCGTATTGTATAGAGGAAGGTCATATTCATATACACTCTGATAAAGGTTTTTCCTAAAAATAATTGGGAAATTTGCATGTAATATTTTTATGCATCAAAGTATAACTTATGAATTTGATAAAAAAAACAAAATATAAAAAATTAGAAATATTAAAATAAAATACTATAAATATATACAGGGTGGTTCAAAATATATTTGTCCCAGAGAGTATTTGTCAGATTAATGCACAAGTATGTGGGGACAGTAAGTTAGCATGGCTCACAGACTGACAAAGGACCAACAAGATTGAAGTGAGGTGACTTTTAGATTACCCATGTGCATATGCAAATATATGTTAATTTTATAAATACTTTAATTTAAAATAGCTTTACCTCCAAACATTGTCATTAAGTACTTATATTAAGATTATTATGACTGGATATTAACTGTTGTCATGGTTAGTGGCCTATATAATTATCAAATTCTAAATGTTTATTAGTTATAATTTTTCACTACTAGGTAATAATTAGTAATTATCTTATATCCCACAACTTCATATATTGCAACAATTCATATATAAAAAGTAACTCAAGGTATTCTGATAGCAATATAACATTTACACAGTGTTTAGTATACTGTGTAACATAATAATGTTTGAGAGATATCCTAGGCATCACAGTCACCAATGATTTGCTTTTATACCTGGTTTAAACAATGACCTAAACACAAAGAAAATGACTTAAAACTTTATATACTCTTCTTTTTCTCAAACTTTAATCATTATAAATGTAATGACATTTCATGCAATTTTTACAACTAGGCTGAATTCATACCACTGGCACAACCGTATGTACAGTATTTATGGACAGTAACAATATCGAAACCCCTTTTGGGATAAAAATAAGCATAAAACAATTTTCAGCACTACTTGAAAGTTTATATTATAAATTAACAAGTTTACTTAGTTTTGTGAATTTCTCAAGGAACCAAAAAAACCCTACTAAGCATGTATCTTAAAACTCAAACTAACTGTGGATTTTGTAAACTTTAACACAACAGTGTGAAAAACAACATGAAGATTTAAAGATTAAAACTGAACATACCTGACCTCTAAATAAATCTTGAAATAGTGCTAATAATCATTTTAGACTTGATGGTATTTATTATACAGAGGGACCCTTGTTATATGTCGGAGTTAGGGAACAGAAAGTTGTAACTTATAACGAAACAATGTATAATGGGGAATTTTCCACCAGAAGAATAATGGGAAATGGGGAGGGGATAGGATAGGAACCATAAGAGCATAAACATTGCCTATATGATGCAAAGTGGGGCAATTTCTCTTATAAGAAACAATGAAACATGGAATTAAATAGGGACATTAATTTAAGAAAATGTTGTGTTTTATACCTAGCAACCAAAATACGTACTGTACATGTACAGTACCTGTACTATACAACACAATGTACAGATATTTGTAACTAACTCAAGTTCAAAGACCTTTAAACAGCATTTATATTTACCAAACACTTCATTGAAAACCATTTTATGAACATTTTGAAGCAGCCCTGTACACTTTAAAACATTTTCCTTTTTTAATAGCAAACATATTTGTGAAATTTTTAAGCAATGACTCAAACAGAAAACAATTTTTTTGTAAAAAAAATCACAGAATATTAATCAGTATTTTAAAAAGATTTTACCATAACCTTTAACTTTTATGTTCTTAACTTAATAAAATATGAATGCACTTACCAAAGTTCCATGTCATTACTAATAGTGTGGAAGCGCTTACAGACTTGAGAAACTCGACAAAGGTCCTGTTCCAGTAGATATGAGAAAATGTTTAACAGCAACTCGTCAGGTACTTCATATAAAAGATAATGAGCAGCACCCACTTTTAGGAAAAAAAAATATACAAAGTTATTATACCTATAATTAGTTACAATAACAATTATACTGATTAATTTCCTGAATACTTTAACTTGTACAGTAATTTGTACAAAATATCATTTATCTCAAAATAGTAAGCTTATGTCATGAACATGTTCTCTCTAAATTGTGCACACTTTCGGCTATGGGTACACACAAAAATATTTTCTGGGGAGGGTTAGCAAAACGTGTGTAGGGAAGAATCAGCTTTTACAATGCAAGTCAACAGACTAAAATAATGTGTTATGTGTGCTTAAATGTAAATGTTAATTTGCAATTTTAAAAAAATTACTAAAACATTTAACTACAATGTTAATTTACATAATTACATGTGCAATTTTTTGTGAAATGTAAAAAGCACAAATGCCTCCTTGTTCCTTCCTGCTGGCATCCATGCTTTCAGCTGTGCAGCAAACTTGCTTATGCCATGCATGTCACAAGCCTGAAGCCATGCCATTCAGAACTTCCTCAAAAGACAGATTGCACTTTTTTGTATCAGTTGATATTTAGAATTTAAATGTTTGTTTGCTATTTTCTGTATATCATTTTAGCTTAGAATACATTGATTTTTTGGACAATTTCAAAATATGTATTACTTTGCATTTACTTTTCTAGTAAGTTAGTGCTTCTGATACAAGTTCCAATATATGTAATTTTTCTTTATTCAGTGTGATATCATTCTCACTGCCATCTGGTCACCTTTGTTGTTTTAGAGTGCTATATTATATAAGCAGAAATATAACTTTTCAGTGCATTTTCACAACTGTAGCACCATAGCAGTGAGTTAAATCAATATAAGAAGAGTGAAAAGATAAAACTGCTCAATATTGAATTTGATTAGCAATTAGCAAATATTGCTTAGCATCTTATTAATATTCATCATTTTAACACATTATAGCAACTAAATCCAGCACTAAAAAGACTTAACTCTTTGTAAAGACACCCACTAATGAAAAAGAGGAAAATGGTATGTTTTTATTCTAATAACACTTTTATTCAGCTTCAA